AAATCTGCTGGCCCCCCCCCCCCCCCCCAATAGCTAGCAATCCAAAACAGTCCAGTGGAGCCTGACCTGTGGATGTTGCCTTCTGACACACTTCTGGTGATGTCAGGGGGTGTGGCTCATGCAAATACGTTATGCCAATGAGTTATGCTAATGAGCTCCTGCACCTCTTTTTCTACAAAATGACCCCTGGTGTAGTCGCTGACGTTTCACCAGCAGCTGTGACTGGCATCCTCAGAGGTATAACACAGAAAGACAGAGTACTCTCTGTGTCAAGGTGAGAAGAAAAATGGTAGGCAGGTAATTTATATCTACTCAGGAAGGTGAATCTGTGCAATCCCTTGAAAATAAAGATCAAGCTTCCTGATTAGCTCAGTTAGGCACAAGCTTGTCCTGGCTCGGGAGCCAAGCAGGGTTGGCCGTCATCAGTACTTGGATGGGAGACCTCCAAGGAAGACTGGGGCTGCTGTGCAGGGGAAGGCGATGGCTAGCTGCCACCTCTGCTCAGATCCTGCCCGGAACGCCCCGTCGAAGGGGTTGCCAGTCGAAACACGACGACACATCTTCCTTCTTTTCAAAAGCCATCTTAAGGTCCTTCCAATGAGCAAGCGGCAGGCAGAGAAGCTGCTGGCTGCGTACAAACTTGTTTGTCTGATTGAAGAGTTATATATGTTAGCCAAGAGCTTCGGAAGAGTTGAACTCAAGAGAATTCATTGTTTGACATTGTTGTATACGGATGCGGAATTGAGACCTTGTTTGATAAAGAGACATCGAAACAAACGGTAACTCGGGAAGTTCGTCCTGTCCGTTCACCTTGACGTCATCACTTCTTGTCCGATGATGTCTTGTTATTGAAAAACAAAGATTAAACAACATGAAGTCTACTACCATCATAGTTTAATTATTGTCTATCATTTCTTACAATTGTATGCACTATTGCAGTAATCCTTGTGTATTGCGTACAAACAATGTCAGCTGTGGCAGCCCCCAACCTGCAGAAAAAGCTCCTCGCTCCCAAAGTGTGCTTCGTGCCCCCCTGCCAAGGCCGGTGGAAGAGAGATTGTCCGACGTCTTCCATCTGTGGTCAAATGCAGGTCAACAGTGAGGTCGGCCTGGGCGGGCCTCTTGCTAGGGTTGCCGGCAGCGTTCCCTCTGAGCTGAGTCAGTGTGAGCTAGCTCACAGTTTTTTAGCCTCTGGCTCGCGCATTTTCATCTCAGGACAGGGGGGATGGCTCCAGAGCAAACTGATTTATGCAGCAGCCAAATCGCTCGCTCACAACTTTTTAATGCCAGTAGCTCACAAAGTAGAATTTTTGATCACAAGACTCCACAGCTTAGAGGGAGCATTGGTTGCTAGGTCCCCTCCTTGCTCTGGCGGGGGAGATTTGGGGGGCATTCCAGGGGTGACCCGCTCCCAAGCCGCGGCCACCCATGGCCTCCCCTTCTGCAGAGATAAAAGGGTTTCAAGCTGATCAGTGGGGCAGTGGTGCGTGGGCCTGAATCCCAAGTGGCAAATCACCACGGGGAAATCAGCGCCGAGCGCCGCGGTCCCCACCACCCTCACAGAAAGACCCCGTTAAAGGGTCTTTTTGCAAGCGGAGTGGGTGACAGCCCCCCTCTCTCCCTGTGCTGAAAGATTTAAAGGGCCCTCCAGCTGATCGGCGGGCCACGTGCTCCCCACCAATCAGCTGAAGCCCTTTAAATCTCTGCAGGAGTGGAGGGGTGGGTGGGGCTTGCCCCACCAGAGCCCCCAGAAGCGGGGGGACCCCAGACCTGGGGGCTCGCTGGTCCTCTCTCCAAGGGCTTCCCCTCCCCTGTGCCAGTCTCCCAGGCTTCCCTGCCAGGCCTCTGCTTGTGATGCTCAGAGGCCCGCCTCCCCCCCAAACCCCACCCCTTGCGTCCTTCATGCTTCCCTTAATCTGCCCCCCCTCTTCCACATGGCACTGACAGGCAGAATCTCTCCATTAGCGATTCAGGGAAGGCACCGGGAGGATTCTTCGCAATTTGCTCCCCGCCTCGTGCTCTTCTGCTGGAAATTAAAGGCTTGTAAACAGTGAAGTTAAGAGAGGCCCCCAGCTGAGAGCGGGTTTAAGGCGGGGAGGGGGGAGCGGCTCTTGGCAGGGGACCAAGCTGGTGGGTGGCAGTACGGAAACGCAAGACGCAAGCTGGGGGAGAGGAGCGCTTTCTGGTTCATCCGGCTTCTGTGCGCCTCTCTTTCAAGACCGCAGAGGGCCTGACTTCTCATTTCTTTGCACAGGTAGCTTGATTAAAATGCAAGCGGAATAACCTCGCACGCAGAGCTTTCAGAAGTGCAAATGCAGGGTCCCCAAGAAAGCTTTGCTGGAAAAAGCTTCTGGCCCTTACGGCTGCTGAGATGGTGAAGGCGCAGCAGCAGGGGAGAGACGAGAGGCCAAATAAAACGCTGTTGTTCTCAGTGGATGTAGCTTGGAGTGACACTGGTTTCTCTTTGGGCGGCGGCGCAATGACCTAGCTTCGGATTGGCCCCTTTCTGAACAGAAGTCCCCTGGGACTTCGGCTGATGCCCTTGGGGGCAGGAACATGAGAACCTAAGAAGAACCCTTTTGGGTCAGACCAGTGAGGGTTTACCTAGTAAGGCGCATTATACAAGCACTTTGCCCTAGGAACATTCTCTCAGAGAATCTCTTGCATCTATGTTATGATACATCAGTGAAAATTAATGAAATTGTCGATACGTACCTGTTGAAATAACAGACCAAGAGTCGCTGCTTTCATCCACATTCGGAAGAAGAATAGTATCGAAACGGTAGAACATTCCGGAGATCATTGTCAATTTCACCATTTTCAACTGCCTTTGTGTATTTATATATGCAGATTTTTTTGTACACATTTTTGTATAAATTTTGTGATTCTTATTTAAATATTTTCTAGCGCAGTTACCTCACAGTTTCTTCTTTTTTCGGTCACGTGGTGGCCAACCAGTTCCTCCAGAGGTCCAGTAACAGGGAGAGGGGCCCCAAGGCCTCTTTCCCACCAACAGGCGAGGCGACTGAAACTATGTGTCACGCAATGCACCCTCTAAGCCGCGGAGTCTCGTGAGCAAAAATTCTACTTTGTGAGCTACTGGCATTAAGGTTGTGAGCGAGTGATTTGGCTACTGCCTAAATTAGTTTGCTTTGGAGCCATCCTTCCTGAGCGGAGACAAAAGTGTGTGAGCCGGAGGCTAAGAAACTGTGAGCTAGCTCACACTAACTCAGCTTAGAGGGAACACCGTGTGGGAGGCCTTGTCAGGAGGACTTCCCCCCCACACACACACATTGTCCAAGCTCTGAAGGGGTCTGGGGGTCCACTAGGGATGGCTGGCTCTGGAGCAATGCTCCCTCTAAGCCGTGGAGTCTTGTGAGCAAAAATTTTACTTTGTGAGCTCCTGGCATTAAAGTTGTGAGCGAGCGATTTGGCTGCTGCATAAATTAGTTTGCTCTGGAGCCATCCTTCCTGAGCTAAGGCAAAAATGTGTGAGCCGGAGGCTAAAAAACTGAGATAGCTCACACTAACTCAGCTCAGAGGGAACATTGCTCTGGAGTTCTGCTGTCCCCGTGTTGAGACTTGGTGCCGCTGCAGTCTATGTCCGCCCTGCCCCAGAACAGCAGATGACATCAGCCTTGAGCCCCAGAAGTGGGGTGGGTGGGGAGGAGAGCCGCTCTGCATGCCAACTGAAGCACGTGTCTCTCTGTCCCCTGCAGGTTTGACAGCGAGCTCTCGCAAGCTCACGAGGAGGCCCAGCGGGAGAAGCTCCAGCGGGAGAAGCTGGCCCGTGAGAAGGACATGCTCATCGCCGAAGTTTTCAGCCTCAAGCAGCAAGTGGAGGTGGGTGGGCCAGCGGCAAAGCAAGTGGCCGAAGCCCCTTCCTCATCGGGGCGGCTTCCGGAGTTCTGCGCGTGCACCTCCCCGTGGATCCCTGTGGGTCTGTGTGCTCAGTCTGATGTGGTGGTTAAGTTCACGGACTCTAACCTGGGAGGACCGGGTTTGATTCCCCACTCCTCCACTTGCAGCTGCTGGATGACCTTGGGCAAGCCATAGTTCTGGCACAGCTGTTTTCTCAAGGACAGTTCTGGAAGGAGCTCTCTCAGCCCCACCTGCCTCACAGGGTGTCTGTGGTGGGGAGGGGAAGGGAAAGGAGCTTGTAAGCCGCTCTGAGACTGTGAGTGGGTGGGGTATAAGTTCAATCTCCTCCTCCTCCTCCTCTTTTCCTTCCTCCTCCTCCTCCTCTTCTCCTCTTCTCCTTCTTTTTCTTCTTCGTCGTCTTCTCCTCATTTACGCTGGGCTGCTACCTACCCAGAGCAGCCACCTGGCACACCTGCCCCGACTCCTGTGCAGCACGCGTAGCCGCTTGGCGTGGACTGCAGCTCAGGTTCAGCTGCACGAGAGGAAAGCCCCGCAGAAAGGTGGTTTTGTTTCCACCGGCGTCATGCTTCGATTTGGCTTGGGTTGCGTGGCCTGCAAGGGCAAAACTCTCGTCTCCGCCCCTCTGTCTCCCCCCAACCAGAAGGGGGGAGCCACCTTTGGGCCGAGGGCCTCCAGCAGCGCATGCCCCTGACTGCCGTGGGGCCGCCATCACCATCTCGCTCTCCCTTTCGCCCTTCCCAGGAGAGGGAGTCCAACATCGCCCTCTACACGCAGAAGGTGGAGTCGCTGGAGGCCGAGCTGCAGGACCTCTCCTCTCAGGAGTCCAAAGACGAAGCCTCCTTGGCCAAGGTCCGAAAGCAGCTCCGGGATCTGGAGGCCAAGGCCAAAGACCAGGAGGAGGAGCTGGACGAGCAGGCGGGCACCATCCAGATGCTGGAGCAGGTAGGCCAGGGCGGGAGCTCAGCACCTGTCCTCTCCTTCCCTGGGCAGGCACTGGCTCTGCCGGTTTTCTGGGCGTGCCGGTTTCACGAGGGCGTGTGCCAGGCCTCCTCCTCACGTCTGGGCCACTGCTGCTGCTGCTGCTGCGATTCCTCTCCGGAGGCTCGTGGAGAAGCCAGCTCCAGCGCATCAAGTTAAAGCCCAAACAGCCGGCCCGGGGAAGGGGTGAGGCAGCTGCCGTGTCTCGGGGAGTGCGGGCCAACAGACCCAGCCATGCAGTCTGCAGAAGCGGCGGTGGCCAGGCAAGTAAGTAGATTGCCTTTCAAAGCCCATTGATCCGGACGCCACGTCCCCGGAGTCCCTTGACAGCCCCACGCCAGGCCTCGGTCAATGGCCGTGCGTCCCTCTCGGCGGCCAGCCGTTCCGAATCTCACCCAGCTCAGCATAAGCCGGCGGTTGGAAGTGGGCAGCAGCGGGTGAAAGGGAACCAATCGACGCGAGAGCCGAGTTTGCAGCTTGCCTCTTGGCCGGAGGCGGGGGTGCTTGGGGGGTCTGGTGTTTTCTTCAACCAGCAGGAGAGAGCGTGCGTGCCTAGTGGTGCAGGTGGGGCTGTTGGCCCGTCTGGGGCCCGCTGAAACAGAGGCAGGAGCTGGAGGTGTGCGTGCTTCTGGCAGAAGGGTGCCCCCCCAAGCCAGACTCCGGCTTCCCCTGAGGGGGAGGAGCCTGGTGGTCATGGAGGCAAACCCCATCCTGCCAAAAATAGAACTATTCTTGAGGAAGCCCACACAACCTGGCGGATGGAGCTCCCGCTCAAAGCACAAAAGGCTCCACTCGGGGGCTTTTCCGCCCGGATCAGCAGCCGGTTTCCCTGAATGGCAAGTTGAGAGTGGGGGCGAGTGCGAAAAGGCTGGCTCCTCTTTATCCCCCCCAACCCCCTTTTACAGTGGCTTCTTGGCCTGGTCTGTGTCCCCTTTTCCCCCCCAGGCTTGCGTCAGCTCTGGGTTCCCCGTGGGGTACCGGTCAGCACTTATTAGGGTGCCAGGCTGGCTGCCCTCTGGCTCGGAGAGTCTGAAAGCAGAAGTCTGACCCGTGGGAGCAAGAGGGAAGCTTGCTCAGCCAGCAGGGCCCAGTGCTTGGGAGGAGATGGGTGGATTGAGCCCTAAAAGCGAGGGGACCCTGTGCTGAGGAATCCAGTGGGGAGAGCTGCGGGGACAGAGGTGGCGGGGTGGATATAGGCCAGTGCCTGAATGGCTGGGCAGCTTGGGGGGCCTGCGTCTCTTCCTCCTCGGGAGGTGGCCAGCGGAGGGTTCGGGAGCGGGCAGAAAGTGGAGCGGAAGGCTGAGCCGTTCATAGCTGTTGACACACGACCCAGGGCAGTGCCTGGGGACAGATTCTCCGTCGCCCCTCAGATGACGGTCGGCCTAGGGGGGTTTGTCTCTCGCCAGTCCATGGGGAGAGCCGGAAGGCCCCTTTCCCTTAGCAGTTCTTCTTGGCAGGCCAAGCTCCGGCTGGAGATGGAGATGGAACGGCTGCGGCAGACACACGCCAAGGAGGTGGAGAGCCGGGACGAGGAGGTGGAGGAGATCAGGCAGTCCTGCCAGAAGAAGGTGAGGAGGAGGGTCCTGTGGCACGGGGTGCCCCCCTAGGGACCGGCCGCTTGCCCTCGGGAGAGCCAGAGAATTCAGGACCGGTCCGCTCTGGTGTGGGGAGAGGGAGCAGCAAGCCCTCTGCGTTTGCTTCCAGAAGGGCTGGGGTCAGTGTTCCCTCTAAGCTGAGTTGGTGTGAGCTAGGTCACAGTTTTTTAGCCTCCGGCTCACACGTTTTTGTCTCAGCTCAGGACGGATGGCGCCAGAGCAAACTAATTGATGCAGCAGCCAAATCGCTCGCTTACCAACTTTAATGCCCGTAGCTCACAAAATAAGATTTTTGCTCACAAGACCCCGAAGCTTAGAGGGAGCATTGGTTGGGGTGGTGCTTTCTCTGTCCTGTAGAGCTTTTCCTGTGAAACCCACCCACCTGAGACCTCAGAGGGTTTGCGGGTGTCACCCTCTCTTTCCAATCTGCAGGACAAACAAC